CCCTTCCGTCCTTCCTGCCGCCCACAAAACGCCCTTTGAGATGTCGTACGTTGCCTTTTTATGCCAGCTCTTTTATTGCCGCCCCATTCGTTTGCCGTTTACTTTTACGGCCAGACATTTGTTTGGCCAGAGAAATCAGTGGATATTCGGCGAGCCCTTACCCAGGCTTAGAAATTTTAATATGCATTTGGGAGAAATTTGGCCGACGTTGGGCGTTCTTTTTGTTTCAATCTGCCAGCGCATGTGGGCCACAAATGCGTGAAAATTTGAGGAGAAGCAGTCAGTCTGGGCAGGTGATTGCCCCCATCCTGTCCAGTTCTCCTTCAATTATTCAGGCGGCGGCTGCGAATTTTGACTGGCTCTGGACAGCCGAAAGAAAAATTACCCAGAAATCAAAACTTCCCCCGAAGACCACTTACAGAAGGTCCGAGTGAGAGTCGGATGAATGCGAAGGAAAAAGGTCAATTCCAGTTGTGAGGCAAATAAAAAATGCAAATACCTCGTCCGTGAAATGGACAACTGGGAACTGGGCCCTAAAACAAAGAAGGTATCTAAGTAGGACAGCAAATTAAATGAGAGTCCGGTTGTGGAAGTGCCGAGCTTGAGCAATTTGAATATCTGAGAAGGCAACCTCTTAAACGGACACTAGAGAGACTCGAAAACTTTCTGGCCAGCTTGATTGGCTTTCCCGCAATATCTTCATCCTGCCCAAACCCACCTGACATTTCCTGCGCGCCAGTAATTAATGTTCGCCATTGATTTCCATTTCCGGCTGGCAATAAACGACAACCAGGGCAATTTTCACGCCATAACTCTAATGGAATTCAACATAAATTTTCCAGACTTTTCAATATTTTATTAGCCCTTTTCGGACGGAGCGTGGCCATAAAATTGAAATGTTTTCGGGCGGACTCGAGCCATGGCAGGACGTCAAAGTCAGTGGGGTTTTTTATGGCGTTTCATTGGTCGGTTATAAATTTGTGTGTTCGGCAATAAATACCAAAATAATTCTATCAGAGCCGTCCGTACGTGGAAGGTCGAGCCATCCTGTTGACACTTGTGGGTTGGGCAGCAGAGTGCCGTAAAAAAGTATCGAACCACCCCGAACCCAATTCCGAGTTCAATGCTGACCACCGAGTTCAGAGCTCGGTCCTGGCACTTTACACCATTTTTATCTGCCGCTGATGTGATTTTGCACTCAATTGAAAACAAACTCGATTAAATTTTCATGTCAAACTGCATGGGAAAATCAGTTACACGACTTACCACTCCTCGCACGTGGGCTGTTTATTGAAAATTTGAAGTGCGAATGATCTGTTATTGTCATCGCATTGAGTTTGTACCCCTGCTAAAGCGTTTTTATCAGTTCACTTTTGAAAAACGTAAGTGAATTACAAATTGAGGTGGTTATCAAATGTTGAGTCATTTCTGTATCAGTCATAGTACTGGACTTGTATAAGAGTTTGATGACATTTAAGCCCTTTCCTTAGCGGTTTTATGATTTGACTTTTGAAAAATGTAACTGAATTAAAAATTGAGGTTAGTAAAAGTTGAGTCGTTTCTGTATCAGCCATAGTATAGATTTTTCACACTTCTTATTCATATAGATCATGTTATAAAAAATATTAAATATCCTTTTAAACGTTATCACGCTTAAAACAGAGATTAAATTTTTTAAGATTGGTATAAAAGCTAAATACAATTCCTAAAACATCAATCCCGAATTCCCAAAGCTTCTTTATAATGTTACTAGATTGTAAAATTGTGTAAATTCTTTTCAACTTTCCTCACCCTTCATAATGTCACAGCCCGCTAATGTGTCCTTTGATAAAGGTTAGGATACGCTTTGAAATGACAGCCAACAGAACTTGGTTGTTTGTAAGATTTAGACCCAAAATAATTGCAGATTACGGCTTTATAAAGCCAGATGTCATTTGACCCAAGTGTAAAAAGTGTCCAACCCAAAGAATTTTCACTTTAATTTGCGAGATTTAAAAACAGGCATGATACTATCTAAATCGGTGAGTGTACAGAAATGACTCCCCCGAGAACAAAAACTAGAGCTAACAAACTGCGGACAACGGCATGTGAACCGGACAAGCTAATGACAGGTTTAATCATTAGTTTTCAGCACAAATGAGCGGGGCAGCCATTAGAGAGCTGTTAGTTTTGGGTCCCTGCATATACATACCATTGATACCAGACGGGGGTTCAGTCTGTGTAGGGATAGTGGGGGAGAGGGTGATTAGAGCACTCCATTTACTCCATTTTTAAACTCATTTAGTGCAGCGTTTTTAACGACGACCATGCGGCGGAAGGGAGACGGCTAATGACAGTTGGCCGCCTTTGTTTGCCCACCAGAACAATGGCCGCCCTGTCTCGTTTTTTACAACCGCACTCATATTGCGGCGAAACAAGCTCGTACGTTAGGTGAAATTGTTTTCTTTATGACGTTTTTACGACTGGCTGTTCCGACAGGGGATCGCCATAATTAGAGAACCCCCATGTGTATTTACCCGGTACCTGTGTACCGCGGTGGCGATAGGGATAGCGACTCATATTTAATTTAAATGTCCCCCGATGCCCGCCAATTATTCGCTGTCACTGGGCTCAGTGCATCCGCCAGGCAGCTGAACAGCCAACCGACCAACTGACTGACGGACAGATAGACAGCGAACTGTCCAACTTGTTGTCAACTCTTTTGTGGCCTCAGCTCAAATGATGAAAAACTAATTTGAAAAATGCGCTTAGCCTTGTGGCTCTGGGAAGGCTCTGCTCCAGATCCAGAACCAGATCCATAATGTCTGCCGCCGACCGCCATCTGTGTGCTTAAATCCCTTTCAATCTTGCCATAATCCAAACTGACACGTACATGTGAACGACGAACGGACGAAGAGTCCTGGCTCCGTCGATCCGGATCCGTAGTATCTGATACAGATGTATCTGTATCTGCTGGCGCCTGTCTTGTTGACCAACCGCATTCTGTTCGATTGTATTTTTCATACTCGCATCCACTTTTTTGACTGACACACGCCCGTTCGACCCCCGGTCACTTCCAATTTGGCTTTCTTTTTCGGAGGATTTCCGTCCGCAAGGCCGAAAACTTTTGGCTGCACTTTGGCCAGTGTCCAGTCGTCATCCTGTTATCCAGGTCTCGACCCCATTTCCGCAGGAAGTCCAAGTCCCGAAGTCGTTTCATGTTGTATTACACTAAGTGGACACAAATAGATTGGTGCTCTGCCCCCTCTATACAATCGCCTGTCCGCAAGTTTGCTCAATAATCAATCAAACCTGGGACTTGAGAACCCAATTCGAAATCCCGGGGCTGCAGATACGGTGGCCAATTAGGCGCAACCCCACATGCAATGCCACACATTCGATGGGGCCAAGGATTCAAACGAATCGGGTTGCCATCCTCATTACATACAAAATTTGATTCGTTCGTTGGCCGCTGGCCACAAAGAAATAAGCCCCAGATTGTCCAATTAAACGCAATTTATACGGATTTCCAAGTAGACCCAGTTTCTGCTCCATACTGAGAGCCCACACTTGAACAAAAATCAATTTCTCAATTCATGGCCAGCAGATATTCTCTGAAAATCGCAACAGTTCAATCTTCAAAGCGAGGAAAGACCAAATAAAATCGTCGATTAAAAAACTTTGAAAGTTATTCTGCACTTATAAAATCATTATGGGACTATTATTTAACCAAACCAAAGAGAAAAAATATACTTATACTAAAAAAACGTATTTAGCACATACCCATATACCATTGTATTCTTTCGAATAAATATATTGGTGATATACTAAAGATTTCTAAATTCTATTTAAAATCATATCAATAGGAATTATCAATGGCAAGTCCTATTTAAAAATGTATACCCACTAAATTTCCGCATTCCTTAAACACTATATGCACAGTATTAATAGGCTTAATTTCCCAAAATGATTAAGGAAGTTTGATTTTAATACCTTTAATTCTTTAAAATGCTATGATAAAATCTACATTAACCGTTTAAGGAAGTCTTTCTCCCAGTGCATTTATATCCACAAGCCCGGCAGCGGCAAATGGCAAATTAAAAAGGTGTCTCTGCTGAAGCTCAAATAAACAGCATTTGATCGGCCGGCGTCTGCAACTTTGTTGGGGCGCCGTCTTTCAACTCCTTTGGCCCGAAAATCGTTTACTTCCGCACAGGCGGCTATTGACCGTCGACCACCGGCCGACTTGTAGGAGTTGAGGTCCAGGTTCGGGACCGACCTCAGCGCTAATGTGACAGCGGCAACACTTTAGAGGCGGAAGGCCAGAGGAAGATGGTCCTAAGTATAGGGCTACCTGTTCAGCGGCGCCTGTTTGTTTTGCTTTCAACGCAAAAACACGTAATATATTTATAATGAATGGCCTCGGGATATTCGCTCGCTAATTGTTGTTAGTTTTTCATGGCCCGAGCATATGGCTGATTTTTTATAGGTATTCCAATCATTAGCACGTCGAAAGGTATCCGGCTAGGCCACAGGTTCCTATCAAAATTGGTCTACGCGATCGAAACACCCTGCGCCTGTCAATAACCGTCTATAAATCATATTCAATGGATTGTTTGTACTGGTTAAGGGTTGGAACACAGCCATTTAACTAAGGAACTCAACCGAAAAGTCCAGGAACCTTCCCTTCTATTCGGATTTGTTTGTTTTGGGGGAGTTTTCAAGTCATTGCTACTTGCTTTTCACAGGATACAGGTTTTCATAAGGATAATATTATGTTTGTAAACATATATAAAGAGATGATGAAACAGAAAAACTTTCAGAATATCGAGATCTGTTGAGATAAGTTAAGTTATTAATCGGTATTAAGGACCATTTAACTATACTGATAAAGTATAATTGCCTACAATCCGCCAGTAAACAGATTATTTTTAACTGCCCCTGAGTTTAATTGACTTTTAACTGCCAATGTTTCCGTTTTAAAAACAATATCCATTAAAAGTAACAATATCATCTTAATATTCTTTGATTCAATAATGTGTTTATTTTCATTGCTCATCTGGTTTACTTTTCAATAATCATACATGTATTTAGGGTTCATAATTTATAATACTAGGTAATGCCATTCGACTTAAGCCTAAAGACAGATATTACAATTACAATACATTACAATCCGTATATAATTTTGTGTATTAAATATGTTACTACTAGGCGTGGCTTCCAAGCTCACTGCGGCGTTTTGAGATGCGGTTTGCTTCGGTTGAACTGTCGAACAATAACTAAGAGTCTAAATGCTGCGCTACGAAACACAAAACGGAAATTCGAGATTCTACACAAACTTAAAGCGCTGCTCCGGGTCAGAGGATCCTCCAATCCCCATCGTCCCGGTTAAGAAAGCGTCACTACAGAGTAAAGCTAGGTATTTACAGTGGGGCCTCGAGTCGCCGCCCCCTCCTATGTACAGTGCGAACTGTCCGTTCATCCCGGACTATGTACAAAGCGAAGTGTATCACAAATAAACCAGCTCCCGCCGAAATCAGGGGGTCCGTCCTCCGATGGCGATTAGCAGCCCGCCGCATGCGACGCCTCTGCCCACGGCTGCAGACCGTGCAGAGCCGCCAGGGGCGCCCCGTTCACGCCCCCCTGGGAGCCCAGGGGCGCCGAGGGAGGGGCAAACCCCTTGCTGATGGCCTCCGCCTGGAGGGAGAGCATCAGCCTATTCGCCGCCTGTCGCTCCGCCTCACGCTCCTCGGCAGTCTGACGTCTGAAATGGGAGGAGAATAAGATATGTTGATCAGTATTTTGTTGAGTTTTAGGTATAGCTATAAGTAAGCAAAACAAGGTTGATTTAAGTATTTTATATATCATATTATCCCAACTAAAATAGATTTGAGGAAACAAAATAGTGGGATAAGCATGAAATCAATATATAGTATTTTATTCTGTAACTAAATGGTATTTTCTCATTCTTCATTCAGAACAAATTATTCTTGAAAATGTATTTAATACCGAAATATTTTATCCTAATTAATCTTTGGATTATGTAATTCTAAAGGAACTTTGTAAACGAACCGAATTTACTAAAACTACCTATATAGACAAAATAGTGTCATATGTGACTTAAAGTTGTTAAAAAGAATTCCTAATAGTTAAAACCAAGAATCTTTTGTTTAATAAATTGCAGAGTTGAAGTGCCAGCTACGCTATAATCGATACGAATGATGACCGTGCACATTTGACCTTATCTGGCAAATAGTATCGCTTAATGTACATATTCATTATGGAAAACCAATTTGCCGCAAACCCATTTCAGGGGCTCACACTCGGCCAATTGGGCGGGCCAAAACAGGAGCTCATCAAGTCATTAGGTGGGCGGCCTATTAAGACCATTTAAAACTAATCAAATCAAATATGCTGACTGCCGCACAAGCACAGAGGTCCATCGATTGGGCTTGTTTTTGTGGAAAATTAATTTCGTGCCGAGTTGGAGCTGCGTAAATTGCATTTTAAATGCCCTGGGCTTAAAGCGGATTTGGCCCACTCCCCAATTTGTGCCCTGCCAGCTGATAAATAATTCAGGGGTAAATTGCACTGCAGATGCACCAACTCAGCCCCGCGTTTGCGCAGCATTTTGCTCTAATTGTGGCCATGGACCCAGCACCAACACCACCCCTGGCATTCCTCCATCGATGCTCCAACCACCCCCGCACAACTAGGGGTTGTTTTTGCGCCATCTTGAATATTTCATGAGCTAATGAAGTTCTTATGTTGCCGACCAAGGGACAAAGTGGCGGAGGGGAAGGGTTGCTCGAATTATAACCACAACTAGGCAGACTAGCACATGGCAGACATATATCATAATTATTGTTTAATATGCTTTCATTACGGTTTTCATCAGCATTGTCATCGTTCAAACTACGGTTTCGTAACTTGAAAGTGAGCTTCATTAAAAATACATTAGGCTGGGTATTTAGTGCAAAGTTTGGGCCACAAATTGGAGTAACTAGCACGTGTCTTTATGCCTGACTAGAGGTTCGCCCAAGGATGTGTATTATGTTTTATTTAAATGTGATTAAATGTATCTTAATGACTACAAACATTTACACATTTTAAATAACCATGGGTAGACTAAAATCTCTTTTTGTATAGGGACTTTCCAGAAAACACTCCTTGTTACTCAACTTTTTCTACATCCCACTTCCCAGTTGCCGGCACAACAATTCAATTGTCTGCCTGGCGATGGAAGTGAGTTATTATGCAGCCAGCACTTGGCTTTTACTTTTTCACCTTTTCGCCTCAAGCTGGCTTTATCGGGCAACATTTTTAACAGCTACCGCATAAAAAATTCAACGAAAATTGATTAAAAACTCCAAAACGGCCGGGCGAACGAAAGTGGCTCGGTGAGCTGGGATGTGTAGTGTGCGGGTTTAATTCGCTCTTCGGGGCCGAAGACTGAGACACGATTGTAATTTATCTTCAGTCACGGAGCTGGGAAATGTAACAAACGCTTTACAAATGTTAAATGTTGGTCTCTTGGCGCCATCGCGTTGATGTGGAAAGTTTTTGTTGCCATCCGCGATAAGTAATGGCCCGGCATTAGGCTAAAATGTTTATTAAAGCTCGCTCCATAAATCTCCGGAGCTCCCCCAAATTGTCGCCCATGGCAACAGCTGCTGTTTAAGACCTTTCCGGCCAAGTCCTGGTAATTAAAATCATTTCACACACTACACGCAAACGACGTTGGCAAGTCGAGGGAGTCGAGGGGAGAGAAGGGCAGCCCCAAAAAGGTCCTGCGGTAATTATCCCTCAAGACATAACAATTTAGCCAGACCATCAATTGACTGCCCAAGGAGCCTTTTCCGGCCAAGATCCCGAGGGACTGGCCCACCGCAAACTTGAAGATTCCAGCGCAGGACACGTGCCGACGGCCCAAACAGGATTGCAAGTTAATTTACAAATGGCTCTCGCCATTGTAATTAATTTTATTTGATTTTTCCACTCTGGCCGCAAAAACTTTCCTTTCAGTCAAATTGATTTTTGTTCTGCGGTCAAAGTTCTGCCCTGGCATGTGTGTAAATTTTTAATTAGCCAGCTTTCGGCAGGAAAACTTTTGCATATGCAGGGCCAATTAATATGAAGTACCAAGCCAAGACTTGCCAAGAAAATTCGAGAGTGAGGATTTTGGGATGATGAACGAGCGTGTAATTAAAAAGGGTTTAGCGGCAGCTTGATTTATGGCAGTGAAACTAATTGAATTATGGATCTGGTGAGGAGGGCGAAAAGGAAACCAGACAAAAGTCAGACTGGGTCCATTTGTTTTGGAGCCACAGGGACAAAGCGCCCGGAAGTGGGCTACAATTTTTCTTTTCCCTCTGTATCTGTATCTCTATCTGCTTTGTGTATCTGTATCTGCGTTGGCAGATTGCTTTTCTGCTGTTTTTTCCTCGTCTTTTTGCCAAACACATTGTCAGACAATGACAGGCAACAAGAGTTCATTCATTTGGCCGCGCAATTTGTTATTATTTATTGATGCCAAGTGGTTGCTGTTCTCGTTGAGTCAAATCACCCGATAACACTCAACATACAGACAATACTCGTAATGAGGCACTCGCCTTGTCGCAAACGAGTTGCTATTTATTAGGAATTGGGCAAGAAAAGCCAGGTATGCAATCTTTATACGTTGCCTAATGGGCACATGGCACTGGGAACATAGCACATAGCACATAGCGCATACGCCGTGTTGGACAGGGCTAATTATTCAAATTACCGGCGAATGCAGCGCAGTGTGCATTAAGGCAATTATGTGAGCACATTACACATACCCTGGATATTTACGAGTGGTGCCGACTCGTAATCATGGTACGTATAATGTGCCATTGCCATTTCACTTAACCGCAAACGAGCCGTGGCCGAGGCAGTTGCTACAGCCGTTGCCATAGCCGTTAACAAAATTGCGTTTTACATCATTAATTTTTACGAGCTGGAATAGGCCCAAAATGGCTGATAAGCCGGCAGGACTGGGCTCTAAAAACTCCGCCGCCTGCTAAGCGGCAATTAACGCGGCTTAAGCGCCGACCCGCCCGCTTTTACCTCCCCAGTTGCAGCTCCCTTTGCTGGGAAAGTGGAAAACTTTGTCCATTTAGCCGCCATTTGCCATCGACTTTATGACGGCCGGTAATCGCATATGAGCAGCAAGACGGTCCCAATTCATCCGCTCAGACTATTTCATATTCAAATACTTTTAGTTGGCAGTAATAAAATAGAAAACAATTAGCTGCACGCAATATCACGCTTCAAAGCCCCACAAAATTAGACACATTTCTTCTCTGACTAATTTTTGGACTCAAATAAATTTTCATTTGCATGTGGAATGTGGGTACACGATATGGGGGCTACATAAACCTAAAATACTTCAACCATCTGACAACAGTATATTAATTCCATAACTAGTTATAGGAGATCTAAATAAAATTGTTGATTTTATGAATTTTTACTGCTGAAAAAACGATTACTATTAAGAAATTTGTTATATTTACTACTCAAAGATCGCATAAACTTTTTATATGGGCATAAAAGTTCCTAACGATTTTACTGCCTAACTATGTACCCATTAAAATGTGTATCAATTATTTTGAATGGTAATATTTCAAACAACAGTTTTCTACATGAAAGCACCTCAACTTCAGTTGGTAAATTGTAGCTTAAATCTACACTTCTATCTTTATAATCCATATATTTAGCTGGAAATTACAGGTGTCATAAAAAAGCTAGCCAATTAGATTGTTTAACAAGAGCGCTCTTTGTGGCTACAAACTGCAACTACCCCTCAGTAGCCTCGTAAATACGCTCCCCCTTTTCCGTGGGGCTGAGTGTTGTTCATTTAATGTGCTCATGCATATTGTATGAGCCATTTACTCCCCGCTTATGCGCGCGGGGCTTTGATGCTCTATGGTCTAGTTGGGCCATACCAAAACGGGCATCACCTTGGCACTAATTTCTGGTATTTTTTTATGTGAGTCGTACATAAAATAATTACAAATAGCCAGTTTGAGTGTAATAAATTCTAATTAGACAGTCTACTTGTTGGTTATGAATATTTATGTATTTATGGGAAATCAAGAGCAAGATAAGAAATTGTTATTAGAGAGGTGTTAGGATATTTTAAGATAATTACACCCATTAAAACTTTAGTATTATGTGGTGATAAAAGATTTGTACCTATCTTTAAGAAGAATTACTGCCAACGATTTTGTTTTCCTTTAAGAAATCTATTAAATATTTCGAAGCCCTTATTTCTAGAGCATTACTGCTTCGGCTATCCACCTATCCAACCTTCTCGCATTTTTAACAAAAGCCTTTTGTGCATATTGTAGTTTAAAACGGCACATAAAAAACAGAAAAGCGGGGTATAGAAGAGGGTAAGTGTCAAGCTGTCAGCACTTTCGAGCCCTGAAAAATGGTAGCTGCGAGTGGGGATGGGTATTGATTTTTAGCCTCTAGCCCAGCGGGGTGCGCAGTAAATGGGGTAGCTCGGCACTCACCTCCACTTGGTGCGTCGGTTCTGGAACCACGTCTTCACCTGGGCGTCGGTCATCTTCAGGCCGCGGGCCAAGGCCGCCCGCTCCGCGGAGGCCAGATACTTCTGCTTGTGGAACCGCTTCTCCAGCTCGGCCACCTGGATGCGCGTAAAGGATGTGCGAGGCTTTTTTCGCTTCGGCGGCGTGCGGTTCTGGTAGGGATGTCCGATCCGGCGGGCGATGGGGAAGGCAGCTGTAATTGCAATGAGAGGAATGTGTGAGTACTTAATAAGACTGGCTTGAGGCCGGTGAAACGCCACACAGATTCTTTTCATTCCCTATACACCTGCGGTCAAAATAATAACTCAAGTGTTGGTATCCAAAGAATGAGCATTATCGGATTAATGTTTTTTTAAAGGTTTTTCATACCATCGCTAAACGTTTTAGAACTTACGTATTAGTATTACATTTCTTATCATTTTGAAAAATTTTCTTTTGGCTTATTAAAAAAATTGTATTTAAAGGCGGTTGATAAATATAATCATGCACAGGCAAAAATTCTATATTTAGGAAATTGTATTTTTAAATCATATATTTTAATTTATTAGCCATTTTTGTGCCAGGCATCGAAAACTTGGAGTTTTTGCCTTTCCCACTTTCACTTATTTTTTAAATATATTGAAAAGGGTATTTTTGGTCTGTTGGCAGAACTGTAGGTTCTCTAATGCTTTAAGCCTCTCAAATTTGAAATGCTATTACTGCGATCGCATCTGTATCTGTCTCCCCTTCGTGCGGTGTGTGTCCTGGCGGGCAATTAGCAAACAATAAATTCCTAGATAACTGGCCATTTCCGAAAGCCGCTTCCGGAGTTGAGCGGCGGCACCTGTGCGCCTGCGAGTACTTAGCGCTGCTGGCTACTCGATACCTGTTACCTGCTACCTGCCCAAATGTCTGAATGGCTAAATGGCTAAATGCCTAAGCGACCCCTCCCGCTGTGAAATCAATTTGGAGGCCGCTGACTCGCTGCCTAATTGCCAAGGATTGAGGTTTCGGCGGCGGTCTAGCAGGAGTCTTTATCGCCGCCCCTTGTAGACAAAGCACGCGACATCCATTTCCATCTCCATTTCCATTCGGTTTGGTTCGGCCTGAGGTTGAGTCATAAAGTCACGCTCGTAGGACGCATAAGTGACCCAGTGTCCCAGAGTCCGCGTCTCTGGATTTCTGTATTTCTGTATTACTGGATTCCGAATTTCTGGACAGTGGCTGAGCCTGTGCTGGCGCTGAACCTTTTAAAATTCCTGCCAGTCGCCGTTGTGTGTGCTTTGTTGTTTATAGGGTGCGATAAGGCGGGCACAGTGCGCACCATAACATTAAGGCGGTCGGCTGGCAACAACACAGCACCAGCGACAATTAGGAAACCGGCTTACGAACTGACTCCGCACCCGAAGATGAGGTCAAGCCGGCCGACGTGGAGAAATTGGTTGGCCAGCAGGCGCTGAAAGTGATGGCCAATCACCTTTATCACAGCCCAAAATACAGCTTAACTCAAAGCTAAGACAGCCAAAATGATTGTTAAAATATTCAAAAATATTAACACATTTTAGGCAATGATCAAATCAAAACCAAATTGATAATGCTCGAAAATTAATTCAATTATTCAAGTGTCTCATTCAATTCAGTAAAAATAACGTTCGTGTCTTTTCAGTGGTTTGCAACAAAAGGTGTTTGCAAATGTGCAAGATAAATTTAATTAAGTATTTATAAGAAATATTCTGTGTAGCTTTTAAAATACTCTTCTAAAATTATCATTTTAATATGTATCTTAAAATAGGTACACTTTGTTCATGCTTCATGCAAGAGAAAAAATATTCAATTCAATTTTAAATATTCTGGTCGATAAATTGATATATTGATTAAGTTGAACAGAAAAAGGGTCTGTATTTTTATAAGAGCTCTAAACTTATTTACCCAAAATGATTTACAAGATTATGTTCCAGATATTTTTACCTAAAACACACCTAACGTATTTACTAGAGCGTAAATGTTCAATGATTTACAGCGAAGAGTTGATTTCCCCAATTCCATTACCTTAGAAAACTTTCTAAAGTATGAAAACCTCTCCAATGTGAATACATAACTCATCGATTTGAATCCGACCAACTCCCATTGAAATTGAGTTGTGTTTATGGGCGTTTGAGTTGGCGTAGGAAAATGGCGGTGGGCTGTCAGAAGCCATCAAATACCGGCGAATGTATGGCGGGTGTTAAGCTGACAAATCATGCTTCTTATTGCGACTTTTCTCGGAAACCCTTTTCGGGCTTTTTCCGCTCAGGGGATAAGACTTTAGCCGTGCCTGGCATAAATTTCCAAAGACTTTTGGGCCAAAGGTCGTGGGGGTTGCCGATCATTTGAATATTTCAAGCAATATCAATTTCAATAAAAAGCCATTTATCGCACCACATAAGCAGCATCCTTAGGATTTCCCTCGTTCCCGCAGGTGTGTGTATCCTTTAAGGATATAAGATACCAGTCGAGAGGAAGGATAAGGCGCATAAGCATAATTTTATCGCTTTCCCGGCACTTCACTGCTCCACCATGCTTATTTATGATGTTTTCGCTCAAGCGCACATAAGTATCTTAGAGATACACTCGACGGCGAGTGTGTGTGTGGTTGCGGCCAAGAAGTCTCACCAGAAATACCTAAAATAATGCAAAAAGCTTTTAGCATGCATTATTGATGGCGGCCTGTGGCTCGGCCTGGTTTCCACCCACTCCCAGGATTGGGGATTTTCCAGAAACTGCTACACTCCGACCTTTTCTAGTGATTTGAATAAGTACTGTTTGCTTAGAATGTGCTGGTTAAATATCAAACATATTAAAAGTTAGTAAGCAGTTAAATAATGTGCTGCCAGTGTAAAAAACAAACATTTCAACCATTAAAACATCAATAATAATGTGAGTTACCAAAACAAAGGTACATACCATACACATCTTTAAAATGTTTCAACTATTAAGACAATAAGAATAATGTGATTTACCATGCTAAGGATACCTAAATATATTTGAATATGAATAAATTGTATCCCTTGTATGAAGTAGGTCCTAAATATAAAAGTTCAACGGAATGGTGTTCTATCTGCTGGCTGATCTACGGATCCTATCCACCATTCACCGCTGACATTCGTGTGGGCAAGTGTCGTGACAAAGCCCAACTCCCATTTGGATTATTATGGCCGTTATGAAACTGCATTAGGGTCTGCATGGCCGAAAAGTAATTGGCGCCTGCTGCGACGTTGTTTTCCAAAAAATAACGAAAATTAACATGCAATGGTTATTAATCATATGGCGCTAAGAGCTCTGACCGAAGGGAGGAGAGCACTTTGGACGGCAGAAGGGATCGGAACCGAGCCCGGGACGCTCGTTTGTCTTGTTAATGAAAAAAGCCAAGGCGCCAGCTTATCAGCCACAAGGCAAGCGACACAATAAACACAACAAGACACAGACGTTGGCCAAGACGAAGATGTTGACAAAACGAGACTTGGATCACCCGGCGGCCTCATAAGTGTGCCTTTCCTCTCAGGTGGACTAGCCGCCGCGAACTGACTGATCCGATCCCATTCCATCCCATCCCATCCCATCCCGTTCGATCGGATGCCCCTCCTCCTCCTTATAAGTATGGATATGGATATGCGGCCCGGCCCTCGGACCGCTGGCATTCGACTGGCTAATTAAAAGCTGACCATGTCAGTTGGACTCAAATGTGAAGTGCGGTATGCGGCGATAAATAAGCCGGCGAGGACAGAAAACTCACTCGCTGAGCGCTGCGACCGCCCAATGCGTAATTAATTCCTTTTCGGGCCCAGCGCGAAATTAAAAAGTCATGTAAACCAGCTCATTAAAATAACTAAAAAGGGAAAAAAGAGCGCACAGCTAACCAGAACCACTGGGCGGATGTTGGCCATAAAAGCCCATCGGATTGTCGGGCAGCAGCTCCTAAGCAGCTTTTCCACATCACATGGCCGAAAAAAGGCCCGAATATTATGAGTTATAGGGCGCGGGACATGGAGGATGGGGATCCCATCCGATTCCTCGGCTACCGAGGCGTAATAAAATCAACGCCGTCTCATTATTTCAAAGGGCTCGCGCTGTGCCCGTCGCTTGTAGCTACAAGTGAAGCTCATAATGTAAACAAATTAACAAAAGGGAGCCAGAGGATCCAGCTGCAGGGAGATGCGGTCTCAGATGCGAATACAGATGCAGATACGGATTCAGATCCAGGGGAGCGACAGATACAGATACAAATACAGCTGCGCATGCGTATGCAAATAAGAGGGCGCATCTCATTCCTGCGTCGCTTCTGGGCGGTGGCTCAGCGTTAAGTTTTTAACTTAAGCTGCGATTGCGCATTTGAAGGCAAACATGTTTTTATACTTTAGCATCCCGAGCACTCGAGTGTGCGAGTGCACTGCGGGAAAATCACTGGGGATAATATTCTGGATCTAAGTCTTCTATATTTCGAGGAACCATCAGAGTTTCCTTACTCGTTAAACCTAGTGGTAAGAATTTAACCAGTGGCTTGATGTCCTAAGAACTAAACCTTTTATTAAACTGCGTACATTTACCAAAAGTTCCCCACGCATGTTTAAATTTATACCTATTTTTTAAATAAAATTATTTTTATATTTTCAAAATGAAATATTTGCAATAATTTCATATATTTTAAGTCTAAAGTACAAAATTTAACAGGAGAGATAGAGTTTAACAATATGACCATTAGCAATTTTCCCTCTTGCTTCTTTGTGGATTTTAATTAAATAGAAATTAATTTATAATTTTCATTTACACAAGAATCATGACTAGCACAACAGATATATTATTTCTTTAAACATCTTTAATCAACAAAATATAGGTCCAACCCACAATACCCCATATATTACGTTCTCCCCAGCTAACTATCCTTTTCGATTTCCCCACTTAAGCATATGATAAGCCCCAGTTTTTCTCTCAGTGCTCCAGTGTGTTGGCCAACAATGACATGCCGATAGGCTTGTTGCCTTAAAAGACTTCTCTGATCGCGCTTATTTGGGGAACAGTAGCAATTGCCACCGCGGGTCACTGGGGGACCGCTGCTGTCCCACCCCGCGTGAGGGATCTCGGCGAACATGGGCCACCGCGACATGGGGCCCCCTACTTGACTTCGCCCTGACTCCTTCACTCCACACCACTCCGATTCACTCACCTGCCAGCCGATCCTTGACCGCCTGATGGGCCAGCGCCGCGTGGTGCAGCGGCGGCAGTGCCCAGGTGAGCGGCGTTCGCTGGGGCGGCACACGCAGCACATGGCCGCCGGCCGCCGAGGGGTAGAGATGCGGATACGAGTAGAGGGCTGCGGCGCTTCCGTACGTCGAGTTGGCGATGCTGGTGGCCAGCTTGTAGGCGGCCAGCTCGTGGTCCTCCTGCTGCAGCAGCTCCTTCTCCTCCCCCTTCTCCCCGCTGCTGCTGTTGTTGTTGTTGTTGCTGCTGGAGCCGGGACTGCTGCTGATCAGGTGGTTGTTGTTGTTGTGGTGATGGTGGTGGCTCGTCTCAAAGGGCTTGGATAGCAGGCGTGATATGCTGAAGGGCAGATTCTCGCTGGACGAGGAGCGCGTCTGCTCCGACTGCAGGGATTCGCTGGACAGAAAAGAGAGAGACGGGCAGAAGACATCAGAAACCATATACAAAGTACAAAGCTGAGGTGCAGACTCATTAAAAAGTGTCGCCCGATAAGCGGAAAAGCCTGAGAATCATAATTAAGCCCGCTGCAGTCCAGTCCAGTCCAGTCTCAAAAACCACTTGCCAAAAGCCCACGCGAGCGGATAAGCCCAGTCGACGACATGACATGCAGAACCCATGTGGCCACCGCTGCGTATACGCAATGCGGCTGGGAATTAAGTAATTATGCAAATGCTGACGGCCGTTAGAGGCATTTAATACGCGCCCATAAATCATCGAATGCCATCAACTGACGCACAAAAACGAGTCACGCACGGCATTTAATTTACAAGTCCAAAAAAAATCTAAAAACCCATTTGGAACAGGATTGGAAATGTATCGGAACAATGACTTTAAATTGCCATCTCACACACTCGCACACTTTCCAAAATCAAAAGTTATGAGCAAACACATTTTTGGTTTTTGCCTATCTGGTGCTCTACATTCGCTGAAACGCGAGTTTTATGGCATTTTTATGACGATCTCTATTAAAATGTTAATCCGACAAACGATTTCGTCTTTGTCTGGCATTCAAGCCAAAGATCGAACCCCAAATGGACCCGAAAGTCTTATCACAGCGCGTTTTTGGCGCCTTACTAATGTGCGTTTTATCGTCGCCGTCCATTCGAAAACCCTTCCCATCCGTGGCCTATGTAAATTCAGGGAGTTTCTTTGAGACTTTATGGGACATTTTGGACTTGATTCTTTTGGTGGCATTGTGGTCAATTCATTAGCGTTTAAGAGGTTTGTTCACACCGTTCTTCAAGCGGAACAAGAGCTTGAATGGAAGAAGTTAGCACGGCCTGCTCGACATTCTGGCAGCTTGTTAGACCTTTTGTCAGCTGAAAAGGGGGCCTTTTGTAGGAGCGGACAATGGGTCCACACATCAGCGCATTTTAATGACGTTAAGCCGAAGAATATGATTTGAAAAATAGGATTTGTTAGCATTGTCAGTAAAACCGCCGAAGATCATAAAACAGTGGGAGTTATGAACACATAATAACAAATGTAAATAGCTTTTCTCTGCTTTTATAGGCTAATGAAAAGAGAGTCAATACTGCAGTTAAAATTTCTACATTTTGTGGCTTTTCCACTTCGAACAAATCTTTTATCTCTAACTACCTCATAAAGTATATTTAACAAGTAACTACTCTTAGCAATTATTTCGAAATGATTTCCTGAGTTTGTATAGCAATTGATTAAGCTAAATAATTTTACCAAACGACTGCACTCCATTTATGATATTTTGAAAAATTTCCATAATAAAATGATTTTGCTGAATGGGTAATATAATTTCAAAGTATAATAACCGTATCTCTATTAAAATAAGTGTACAGATTGTTAAAAAATAATTAAAACAAAAATTATTTTGTCACAAATAATGGTTCGTTGGACTTTTAACATTTCATATCTAAATGGACTGTGTCCATAAGCCACCCATATTTAGACATGTTTAAGATTTGGGAAAATGTTTATATTTTACTCAACGATGAAATTCAATTTTATTGCCTGTTTACTTTTTCCTTAAATGAAAAAGTACAGAATGCAAAGTACTCATTGAATATTCTATATATTTTTAAAATGTCTGCCATCCCACTAATATTTCTTGTCAATAGTGACTATTGTGTGTATTGTGGTGTATTCCAAAGGTTGCTTTCCAAGTACGCGGATAGTTTCGAAAGAAAACCCTGCTTTTCCCAGACCCATTAGGGCACTCTCCTCACCTCAATGGCGTTTCGGACTCATCGTAGCAACTGCCGCCGTCCATATCCACATCGGATCCGCTGCCGCAAGACATCCGTGAATCCGAGTCCACGTCCACGTGGATCTCCTGCTCCTCCACCTCGTCTCCCTGCTCGTTCTCGTGCTCGTGGTCATCCTCCTCGTGGCTGGACATGCTGACAACTAGTGGAGCCAATTTGGGACTCGCTCACAGCACTTTAATATCTAATTGGTCACTTAATCCTTTTTTTTTAATTGTTAGCCGCAGAGTGTTTGAACCATATAGCACGCACAAAATGTTTAATTAACTTTCAGTTTATTTTCCGCGTTTAGGCACGACCCGTTGTGGGAAATTCCAACTGCGAACTGCGGATTATAGGTTCACGGATTACCGACTACGGATTGCGGATAGCGGATTGCAAATTGCGAGCTGGGAGCGGACGCGTGCTGGCGATCGAAAACGCTTTTCATAAATGCAATCAAATTGTGCCGACGGCCGCTGCTCTGCTCTGCCCTCTGCCGACTTGGCCGCCTCTGCCGGATTGTTGGTGGCTTTCGGCGGTTGGAGTGAGCCGGAAACAAGTCAAACCAGTTGTCCGCCGCGACGTCGCGTCTCTGCCGACTTCCTTCCTCTTTTGGTTAAAGAGCCAGTTTGCCACCTTGTTTGAACCTAACCTACCATAATACCAAGCACCAGCAACCTGGTTGGTCCACCCTTAACGCTTGCCGTCCCGCTCTGATCGCACATGCGCCTCGTTGCCTCTCGCTCGTGGAAACAGGTTTCCACCTGGCAGGGGCGTGGCCTCGGCCAGCTGCCATTGGTTAGAGTGGCCCGGGCTTCCATCCCCCCTCCTGCCGCTCGTGGTCCACTCTAGGAAACCCACTTCCAGCTGGCATTTGCGACGACATTTTAAATGGAAATCGTTTTGCTTTTGGGGTTTTTTATTAGACGAGAGCATGAAGAGAATGTATTTTTATTTTGATTGTTTCTATTTTCGGGTTAGCCAAGCGTTTCCACTCTGCCATCTCACTCGCTCCGTTACGAATTACCCTCAAGGTGAGAGTGGGATGGCTGTAGAGCGAGAGCGAGATGGACTCTTTCCCGGGGAAGTGCAAATGTGGCAGATTAATAGCACAATTGGAAATAGCGTTCTGTCAGCTTGAGTTCACAAAGCAGCGGATTTCGCAGGGGGGTGAGTGCTCTGCACCACTTCCTAATGTCCCTATCTACTGACTACTCACTACTCACCACCGACTACTGAGATCTTTATTAGCGCCAAGTGTTCTGCTCGCTATCGCCTGGCATTTGGCAGGCTGCGATTGCGATAAGGAGACTCCGGACCCAAACCACGAGAATCCAATCCATTTGGCCAGGCCAAGCAAATGCAAATTGCCTCGGATGCAGCGGATGCAGCAGCTCTGGCATTTTCCACAAGTTCACCCCACGGGTTAATTGACAGTTTTCCTTGGGCACGAGCCATGTTATTGCTTATTGCTGGCCAAGATTTCAGCCTCATCCTCAGGTGTTGTTCGAGCCGAATGCCTGGCAACCAAATCGAGGATGCCTGGGATGCGTGTGTGGGGCCAGAAGAGATTGGGTACTCCTTCTTCATTAGCCGAGATAGAGCTGCGGAATGTGCTATAACCTCTACCTCGAACCCCTCCACAAATCGATGGCAAAAATGCATTTTAATAAAAATGAAGTACAGGTTGTTAGTCAGTTGAAATTTCGCTAGGACTAGGCACTTCTGAAGGCTTATGACCATATGACACTAGCTTTTGTTTCGACTAACTTATGGCCTTATAACACTTTCTTTAGTTTCAACTAACTTAATGAATTTCTTTTATAAATCATGGCAGAAAAATGGGTCTACAGCTTTACAACATTCTATAGTTTGAATATTAAATCATGTTTAGAATGCCATGACTTCTTAAAATTAATCCAAATGAAAAGATCGAAGTTCTTGAAGGGGAAATCATTCTTCCTTAAATAAAAAGTAATTTAAAAAGTTAAGCAAACTACGATATAATATTGTTACTTTTAATCTGCTTTCTTATAATAATATTTTTATTTTTAGATTACAATATTTCTTCACGTAATTTCCTCAGCACTTACGGTATACATTTCTGATTCTTCTTAACCCAAATATTTTCAAAGAAAGGTTTCTCCAACATGCTATTTCTGTTCACAAAGTGTATTGCTTTACTTTTCACCTCTCGTTCCCCTTGATATAATAATGATAATTAACAACATCGTATAATATATGAAAAGTAGTCCCAACCCTTAGTTAAATTAAACCAAAAAAGTTCCTTAAACAAAATGAATTTGCTTCACAGCGAACCACAACAACACACCGTTCACTTAGCATTTAAACCGAGTCCAATCCTAGAAATAACGGTTATAAATATTCATTTTTGCACTTAAGTGGCCATGTTTCTGTGTCAGACACGGAAAAAAATCATGGCCAAAAATGAAGAAAGGCAATTACTGCATATTCAATTGGCCAGGCACAAACAGATACACACGCACACCGCCGAGGAAAGGACTCTGGAAAAAGTCACGAGGCGAACTTCCATTTCTCCTCGTACCGCCTCACAATGTCATTGTTGCTGTTGCTGATGCTTTTTCAGCTGGTAGGCCTTGTAGTCGGCTAATTGGATTTCATTTGAGCAACAACAACGCAGAAACAATTGCCATAATAAAAACAACAACAACAACGACAACAGAGTCTCCATCCATGGCAATTGTAATGCAATTTTAATGCAAAACGAGAGGCGGCCAACATTTTTATTGCATTTTTACTTTTATTTCACTTAATAGCAGGCAGCACAATAACTGCAGCGGCAGCAACGACGAGGAATTGGTGCTTGGTATGAATACGGAATGATGCCGAGACCACCACATCGCCTTTTCCGGAGGAAGGGGAAGCAGGAGTAGGAGGAGGACGTGGTGGTTCCGATCCAAGATGAGAATGGAGATGACGGTGGGCGATGGCAGGGTGGTGGAAAATTAGTATGCAGCAGCGCACTGCAATCGGATGGCAGACACACCAGCAACAACAGGGAAAACAGCATCAACCAGAACAGAACTTAGCTTAAGTGTATCTACACGTACACTGGGAGGATAAGATAAGACCTCCGGACATTAAATGTGAAAATAAATAAAAAGAGAAAGTCTACTTAAGGTATTTATTAACCATACATTTTAAATTTCTATCTTATTTATATTACCACCTTCAAAGGCATTGATATATTGAAGTCCTAGAAAATACTAATAAATAATAAGTATTAATCTAAGGTCAAACCAAGATGTATTTAAATATTTATCTTTAAAATCGTCCTTATTTATTAAATACAAAATACCTAATGTGCCAGTTCTATTCGTTATTGATAAAAGTACACTTTGAAATTAAACGGAAGCCTAAAAAACTATAAAACCTTTCCTAATAGTAAAAGATTTGAATATAATACTTACAAAAGGTATCATTTGTTTGCTTTCTTACCCATCCGTTGTTGTTCCTAAAAGACTGAACCATTTGCGAATTTTAACGTCACAGAGTTAGAAGTTCGTCTTAACTTTAATTTTAATAAATTGTTCCTTTCTAATAAATGAAACTTAGGTTAAAAGAAAAAAATTGCTTAAATTTATGTTAGATTATTGTTTAGTTAATAAATGGAGTTCTGATTATGTTTCCTTCACACTTCTTTCAAACTTTGATTGATTTTCTCAGTGTATGCACTGTAACTGGTGCAGCCTCAGTTTCGGTTGCTGCCAGGACTTGCCACTTGACTTTATTGGCAACTTCATGGAATATTCAGAAGGAAAGTTTTGCGCAAGTGCCTCCGAATAATACCGCCCCAGGAGCCGCTCCTGCCGCTCGAATTCCTGGCAGGGTTGCCAGCTTCATTTGGTATGCATTTTTATTTGGCTCATATACAAATGGCGGAGCATGGCGCGACTTTAGTTCGATGGCGGGGGAAGTGATCCAGATTGGTGTGACAGCGGGATTTTCGGAGAGGGGGGTGGAGCCGGACAGACCAAGTGTCACTTAAAATGCCAATACTGATTATGGCCACCGCTGGCCCTCCCTTTCTGGCCCCAGCCAGCTGTCTCACTTTCTCTCAGGACGGCGCAGCATGGACTTTATGTGCGGTCAGGGCCTGGCTATTATTGGTGACAGTTTTACCTTTATGCGAATCCCTCTCAAATGCACACATGCCAGGGAATACTTGTGTGAATGCCAAATATATCGCCAGATATAGTAAGAGAAGGGCAGGAGCTGGTAGATATATATATTTAGAACTGGGTTCTTTGGGTTATAAAACACCTAAAAATAAAGCTGTAAAATATTTTGACCAAATTTATATAATATTTTACAATTTGTAAGAAAAAACTAAACTTTTCTAAGCTATATCTTTCAATATATACCCACCATGCCTCGACTGTTTGTTGCTTCTGAGTGTGTGGGTTCACTTAAGTGATTTCCCTCAACACAAAAAGGGAGCACTTGCCTCGGTGAAATCAAACTCAAGTGCCGTTCCTAGACCAAGGCCGTCGTGATTGTTTTTCGAAACTGGATCCGTCTGTCCACACTTGCCTTCGATTAGGCCAGGCTGCCCAAAATGGCTCGGCTCGACTCGATGCGTGTGTTTTTGTTTTAGCCAATTGGCCACACAATTTGCCAAGCGATAAATTAACGCATCAATAATTGATCAGACTTGTGGTCAAGAGCGTATGTGTGTGGTGTATATATTTTGGCCAATTTCGAGGCGAACGGAGAAAAGAGAACGGCGCCTCACGTCTCTGATAATTTGGCTCAAACCAGCGCTTGAAATCGGAAACTGTGATTTCTTTCTAGAGTTGTTAAAGATTTTGGTGAAGAAGAAATGAAAGCCAGACTTGTTTTCCCTAGAGGGTACTTCAAAATTCTAACAATATCTTTTGTTCTTAAAATAATTCCCAATCGTTCTGAAACATAAAATAAGTTATACAACTAATATATTAGAAATTATACTATATTAAAAAAAACATTTTTTGAGGTCGTCGCATGCATTTCAACATTTTACTTTTTTAATGAGCAACTGTGCAAATATCCGCTCCATTTTTTTTAATTTCATTCCAAGGAAGCATTTTCAAATCATATTAAATAATATCCAAATCACCTGGAAAAACCTTTTTTCGATCTGTTTTTGAGCTCAGACATGCCCTTTAATTAAATATATCCATTTCGTGAATATCTCAGATGGAAACGATATAGGGTTCCGAAGCAGACTTCCATTTTGCCGCGCTATAACCATAAGGGTGCTTCTAATTAATTTCGCACCCATTCCCATCGCCTCGATTGCCAAGAAAGAGCTAGTGATTTTTATGCAACACACTCAGGCCCTTATATAAGCTAATGTAACCATATACGAATACTTGAGCTCATGTTTGTTGCATGTATATGGGCATTTTTAATAAGATACTG